ACTTGGAACACTTTCCTGTCTGTGGACCTCATATTGTCTGACTTCCTCAGCTGAGGTCCATGAGGTCAGGGGCTTGTGTGTATCTTGTTGATCACATAATCAGTGTTCAGTGGATACCTGCGGGATGAATGACTCCGTATGGATTGATAACAGCTGTGAGTGTAGGGCCCTTTGGGTTGAGGTAGTGCCCAGCGCAGGGAGGGAGTGAGCAGAACAGCTCAGGGTGTCTAGCTGGTGGTGTGTTTTTTTTTCTCTCTCTCTCTGTTCCAGCTCTGGGAGAATGTCTCTGGAAAGGAAGCCCAAAGCCTGGTCTGGCTGGGAAGAGGTGGGAGGGGAGGGGAGGGGGTGCAGGGCGGAAGTCTGCAGCCCCAGGCTGCCGAGGGTGTGGTGTCTGTGTTTGCACCTTTGGAATGTGGCTGATTCACTCTGGGGGGAGCCATATGCCGCCACCACCGCCTTGGATCTGACATCTGGAGGCTGAATTCCAGGAGGAGAGAGACAGATTCCTGCAAGTAGATGCCAACTTTGAAGGTCAAAGTGAGAAATGGAAGCGCTTTAGGCAGGGGCCGAGAGGGTCCAGCACCCCCGCCAGGGGCTGGGAGGGAAGCAAGGTTGGTCCCCAGGCTTGTCGCAGCCCCTGAGCTGCCACAGCCTCCGTGAGCTCTGTGGTCACCTGGGCTCAAAGGCCAGTTCCTTAACAGCTCCTGGAACTGCAAAGGCCAAGGCCTTACAGGGTTCAGTGCTCAGCAGTGTGGCTGGGATGCCGGCTGGCACCTCCTGGCCTAGCTTTTCTGCGTTTGCTTTACTCTGGGCCAGGGCCTCCTGCGGGTTCCCAGCTTGCATCTCAAGGATTAGCAAGAGCCTGGGCTTGCCTTTCCGTGGTGGGAGTTGGGTCCCAACCCACCCTGAAGGGATCCCTAGGCTGCTGATTGATGGGTCCGGGTTAGGAGTCGCCCCAACACAGGGCTGACACCCCTAGTGTCCCGACCTGTGGGACCTTCTGTTACTCGCGGGGGTCGAGGGGGACCGTGCCTGAAAGAGATGGGCGAGAGAAAGGAACAAGACCAAGCAAATGGTTGTCAAGGTCTACTTTACTTGGATTCTTAGGTTTTATATACAGAAACAAGGAAGTAGAAACAGAAAAATTGAGTGGGGGGATGATGAGGCTTGGGTGTGGGCCAATCAGCCCCAATCAGCGTCTTATCGGCATCATCGGAAGCTGTTTGTGATTGATCACTCAACTTCAACCTGGCAGGGGGTCGGGAACAATTGCAGGTAGCATGCCCTGAAGCAAGCACGTCATGGAATGCATTCTTCTCGGAACTATAGCTGGAGGGCTGGGTGCTATTTTCGTCTTAGGCTATTTTCCGGGGCAAGGCCTGTGAGTAGGACAAATCGTTGGGATGTGGAGGGTCTTAGTCTCCAACACCCTAGGGCCACATGGAGAAAGTGGGAGATTCCTAAAGGAGTGGCACCCCAATTCTGCTAAGCTGCCTTCACTGGACTGGCCACCAGGGCTGAGCTAGGCGCTGTGCTCAGCTTCTTGGGCTTTTCCCGACCAATGTGCTCCTTGGGTTAAGTCTCTCCTTTAAGCTCTTGGAAGCTCATTTTCTCCATCTATGAAGTCTCCTAGGCTCCTTTGGAGGACTGAGTGAGACGGTGCATGCAAATCCTTGGTATGTGCCTGGCCTAGAGGAGGCGTGACAATAACTAGCATCTGGTTCCCTTTCCCTGTCCCTGTGTGATCCACCGTGAGCTTGTGTGTGCATGTGCTTGTGTGTGTGCACACATGTTCTCCAGGGAGTTTTGTGTTATTGGATCTCTCCCCCACAGCGTTAGGGCTACACTGGAGAGGTGGGAGGGGCAGGAGAGGGGTGAAGGGAGAACACGAAGCCTATCCCAGCGTGTGGGCCTCAGCTGTGGGGCCGCGTGCCCAGGCCTGTCTCTGGGAGGCACCTTCTGTACCCTCGGCTCCACCTGGGGCTGGAGGAGGGTCCCAGGCGTCCTCCCGCCCCAAAGAACTGCTGCCTGCGTCCCTCCCACGCCACATCTGGACCACATCTGGTCATTTGACATTGGTGGAGTGGCCCTGAGTCAGCCTTGCTGATTACCCATGTTCTCTTCCCTGGGACCCTGGAACCTGGGGGTAGCTCAGAGAGGAAGGGTATTCTGGGGCTCCTCAGAGGAGAAGACCCAGTGCCCAGAGTCAGAGCCTCTTGGACACTTCAGGAGTGTCTTTGAGCTTCTGGGATGGCAGAGAACAGGTTAACTCTAAGCTTTTTGCTGCTATACATGAACCACCAAAGTAAGGCACCTCCTAGAATTCACCTGGGGTGGTGGAGTGTTAGAGCTAGTGTGCCACCCCCTGGGCTCAGCGATGTCCCCCTCTGAGCCGCTGGGTGCCTGCCTGACTCACCACGCCCCCTGAGTCCTCCCAGTCTCAGCTCCAACCCCACCTCCTTGGACGAGTCTTTCTGGACTGGCCACTTAAACCATGGTTATTCTTGTCTATATGGTGGCCATAGGTTCAATACCTCTGGACCTTCATGGGGACACTGCGTCAGTCAACACCACAGTCAGTACTTGCCCACGTCCTGCCTGCACTGAGCACTGTCTGGACAGTCCTCCCAGGCTCTGCCAGGGCCACACTACTCAGCTCTCTTCTGGGTGTCAAACATTTTTTTAAATTCGTTCATCCGGCCTCTTCCACTATACATACAGCAGTCCCTGAAGATGAAGGACACAGTAATGAGAGTTACATTTTCTGAGCTCTTAACTAAGTGCTTTTAACAAATCAAGATATAATTCACATACCATAAAATTCACCCCTTTAAACTTTATAACTAGTGGTTTTTAGTGTATTCACAGAGTTGTGCAACCATCACCACCATCTAATTCTAGAACATTTTCACTACCCCCAAAAGAAACCTTGTACCCACTGAGCAGGCACTCCTCAGCCCTCTCTTCTCCACACCCATGGCAACCACCAATCTGCTTTCTGTCTCCGTGGATTTGCGTAGTCTGGACATTTCAAATAAATATGTGGTCTTTTGTGACTGGATCCCTTCACTTAGTGATGTTTTCGAAGCTCACCCACATTGCAGCATGGAACAGTACCTTCTTCCTTTTTAAGGCTGAATAATATCCCATTGTGTGGATAGATTACATTTGTCAGCCATTGGTCAACATTGGGTTGTCTTCATCTTTTGGAAGTTATGAATAATGCAGCTGTGGATATTTGGGTGCCAGTTTTTACGGGGATATAGGTTTTTAATCTTTAAGGGCTTTTTGACAAACACTTGGTTAACCCCACAGCACGCCTGTGAGGTGGGTACTGGCACCCTCTCTCTCCCCTCCTGCAGGCGAGGAAACTGCAGCTCGGAAGGGTGAGTGGAGGTCCCAGGGTCCGTGGCATTGGATTGTCTGGCTCCTGATGGCTGTGATGCCGACCGAGGTGTTTCTGGTCATTTCTAGCAGTGACTGGCCAAGTGCTACCACAGGAAGTGTTGCTGACTCTTCAAACGGCCATGAAAACTTGCAACCTGAAACCCCAGAAAAAATCTGCAGTCTGTCCAGGTGAAAGTCTCCACTGGTGGTTCTCTGACCCAGGGGACACTACTCAGGTGGTCAAGGGAGGTCCCTCCTGCCACAGCAGAATCACCATTCCAGATCTGGGAGCCAGGCTTTTCCCCGGCTCCCACTGGATGCTGTTCACAGCCTGCACCACCTCGAGGGGTGGCAGTCCCAGACGCTGTCGGCCTTTTTGTCTTCTGCTGCTTCCTGTAGGACCCAGGGCTGAGTCTCATTGCTTGCCCTCTTGCATGTGGCACACAGATCATTTGGCTTGGCTGGCAATGAGCTTTGCTCCTTCCACTTTTTTGCATGGCACAGTGGGTGTGAGTCCAGCCACTGGACAAGCCCAGGTTAAAATCAGCCTTGCCACACTCTGCCTGAGTGGCCTTCCGGCAAGTCTCTGCTCCTCTCAGAGCCTCTGTTTGCTCATCTGGAAGCTGGGGTCACAGATACAGTACTTGCTCACACAGCAGCTGTACGGCTGCTGTGAATAGCAATAGGGTTCTCACCCCGTGCCCAGTGCTGCTCACAGCTGTGGTTGGTCTTGTCCTTAGTGTATCCCATGGTCCTTGTGCAAAGGCAGGCTGGCACCCCTGCCAGGAAGGGGGTGGGAGCCTTGAGTCTCTCCTGCCCCTGGCAGCAGGAGGCTCATTTGCCTGGGAGCTTCCTATGGACTCAGTTTGGCTGCAGTGGGGAGAGTCCAGGCCAGGCCTCTGAGGCTGGGACCCAGAGGGACCTCCTTGTCCTCCCAGGTTCTCCAGGCTCCCCTCTTCCTCTGCCCCACCCACTGCTTCCTACAAATCTCGGCAGGGCCTGGTGTATTCCCTGCTGGTCACCTGGGCACAGCCCTGCATAGCACAGACCCGGTGCTGCCTGGTGGCTAAAGGGCTTGGACGCTGGCAGTGACCATGGACCACCCCAAGTGGAGTAGGTGCCACAGTGCCTGGTCTGAGGCCGGAGCGGCAGCTGTACGGCAGGGACGTGGACCAAGGAAGGGAGGACCAGGTGCCCTCCTCTAGCTCCTGCCCGGAAAACCGTCTTCCTTGCTGCTGCTCAGCCCTTCCCAGCCCTGCCCCTCACCCTGCTTCTCACATTTCAGCTTCTGAGCTACTGGCAGCAGCACACCAGACATGGTAACCCAGGGTGTGCTGGCGGCAGCACAGCCTGAAACGGGCAGCAGGGGCCCAAGGTCTGCTGAGGTGAGGGAGAGAGAATGCTCCTAAAGCCAGTCCTGTGCTCCCCACACTGCAATGCTTATCTGGCTTCCTTCCTTGTCTGCCCATACTTGAAGCCGCAGCCTCTTCTGACCCCTGTGAATTGTTCTTTCCTCTGACCGTCTGGCACGGACCGGCCACAGAGTGTGGGTTGTGTGTCACCTCGAACCTGACCTTGTCATTTCAAGGATGGCCAGGCGTTCTCCCTCCATACACCTCACCACACCCAGCTGGACTCCCCTCTTGCCCCTGCCCTTACGTGGGCAGGGCTGGGCCTCCAGGACCAGGTGAGCTCTCAAGTTCCGATGCCAGCAGGAAGCCATTTTCCAGGGCTGCCGCGCAGGACTCTGGAAGGAACCTGGAAGGAGTCCAGGCTCTGGCAGGGACCAGCTGTGATGAGCTTGGGCAAGTCCTGGGGGTATGATAATAGGACTTAGGGTGCCCTTGTGTGGGTGAGACAAGGAATGCAAGGAGAGCCACCCAGGCAGCATCTGGCACACAGTGGCGCTGACCACTAGTGCTTACAAACACGTGCCTCCCGGGCTCACGCCGGGCTCCAAGCCAGCTCCTCCCCAGGAGGGCCAGTCCTGGTTTCCCGGCCACATCCCCCACCTTGCAGCCCACCCGGGTCTGATTTTTCATTAGCGCCAGCCTCTGTCCCTCCCCTGTCCTGGCTGGCCCTAGCCCTCCCTTTTCTAGTCTCAAATGGGACTTGACATCCCACCTTTTCTCCCCAACCTCTGTCCATTCCATGGGAGGAGAGCCAGCTGTCTAGAGGGACCCTGGAGACAACACTTACAGTGGTCCTCTTCCCACATCCCCTGCTTCCCACCTTCCTCCTGAGCCCAAGACACTCCCTCCTGGTTCCAGGTGGGCCTCATCCAACCCTTCACCCTCCCCCATCCTGTCTGGTGGCAGACTTACTCTCCTTTGGGGGTTCTGCCCTCTCCCCCTCCCTCTGGAGAGGGGGCCAGGCTGGGTGGCAGGTGTCTCCATTCTGGTCCCATCTTTCCTGCTAATTCTTTGAGGTTTCAGTGTCAACATGCCTCAGGCTACTGGTTGACCTGGAGAAATTATGGTAACTGTCCTGAGGCCCTACAGAAAATCAATCGAGGAAGCGGTTAGACAGCCACTTCTGTCTAAAACAGAAATAGCTCGGCCTGCGTGGCCATGAATTGAGTGTTTCTATAGGGAACGCTGCAGTTGGAGCAGCCGAGTGCTGGGTTCCTCCTTGCTGACACCATGAGAGGCAGAGACACTTCCCTTGGGGAAAAGTCCCTCGGGAAGCTGAAAACCCCTGAGGGGTGTGGGAGGAGGAGGGGCCCAGCGCAGGACAGGGCAGTACTGAGGGGCAGGAAGAGGTGGGCCACAGAGAGGGCATGGGGACTCCGGCCACCTCCAGTAGGGCTGCCACCAGCTTTGTTCCAAGGTGAATCAGCTCCAGCTGGATGATGGAGGTGGGCATCGGAGGTCAGGCCTACCAGGCACCCAGGCAAGCCGGGCACCACCCAGCTGGATCTGCAGGGCCCAGGGGGCTGCAAGGTGTCAGTCAGTGCTGCACCTCAACACCTGCCCTGCTTTCCCCCAGGCAGCCTGTATGCCGGGCGCCCCCTGGTGGTTGGGGAACCCCAGCCTTGTGAGCCCCAAGAATTGGAGAAGACCAGAGTATTGGGGGATATTGAGCTCTGCTGCAGACCCCAACAGGGGCATCTGACCCCATTCTGCCTTCCTGGGAGCAGGAGGCTGAGGCAGGAGGATCGCTTGAGGCGAAGACTTTGGGCCCACTGTGGCTGAAGAAAGGAGGCCTGAACCCATTGCTGCAAAGGATCCTGCCTCTTTCTGGGGCCCCCAGACTCCTGGCCATCTTCAGGGTTAATAAAGCTGCTTTTTAATAACAGCTTTACTATGTATAATTCACATACTACATAATTCACCCATTTAAAGTGTACAATGCAGTGGTTTTTAGTATATTCACAGAGTTATGCAACATTACCACAGTCAATTTTAGAACACTTTCTTCACCCCAAAAAGGAACCCCACACCCATTAGCAGTCACTCCCCATCTCCCTTCCTCTCAGCCCCAGGCAACCACTCATTTACTTTCTGTCTCTGTGGATTTGCTGCTGTGGCCTTCCGTGTCCGGCTTCTCTCACTGATCTCACGTTTGTTTTTTTTTTTTTTTTTTTTGAGACAGAGTTTCACTTTGTTGCCCGGGCTAGAGTGAGTGCCGTGGCATCAGCCCAGCTCACAGCAACCTCAGACTCCTGGCTCAACAATCCTCCTGCCTCAGCTACCCGAGTAGCTGGGACTACAAGGCATGCGCCACCATGCCCGGCTAATTTTTTTTTCTATATATTTTAAGTTGGCCAATTAATTTGTTTCTATTTTTAGTAGAGATGGGGTCTTGCTCTAGCTCAGAACTGGCCTCCAACTCCTGACCTTGAGCAATCTGCCCGCCTCGGCCTCCCAGAGTGCTAGGATTACAGGCGTGAGCCACCTCGCCCGGCCTTGATCTCACGTTTTCAAGGTTCATCCACAGTGTGGCATGTGTCAGTGCTTCATTCCATTTTGTGGCTGAATAATATTCCACAGTGTGGCCAGACCACATTTCATGTGTCTATTCACCAGTAAAGCCTTTCGTAGGCCGGGCGCGGTGGCTCACGCCTGTAATCCTAGCACTCTGGGAGGCTGAGCTAGGTGGATTGCTCGAGGTCAGGAGTTTGAAACCAGCCTGAGCAAGAGGGAGACCCCGTCTCTACTATAAATAGAAAGAAATTAATTGGTCAACTAATATATATAGAAAAAATTGGCCGGGCATGGTGGCGCACGCCTGTAGTCCCAGCTACTGGAGGCTGAGGCAGAAGATCACTTGAGCCCAGGAGTTTGAGGTTGCTGTGAGCTAGGCTGACGCCACAGCACTCACTCTAGCCTGGGCAACAAAGTGAGACTCTGTCTAAAAAAAAAAAAGTCTTTCGTGACTCCTGTCCATGCCTCTGACCTGGGATTTGGGGAAAGAAGGGAGCTGGGACGTTTCTGATTTTACAGCTTAGAGGTAGGAGGGTGTTGTCTCCACCTAACCCCATCGCAGTCGTCGGGGTGGAGGATGGATGATGATGTGCTCAGGTGTCTCAGGTCACAGTAAGGCCACCATACAGGGCAGTACTGAGGGGCAGGAAGAGGTGGGCCACAGAGAGGGCATGGGGACTCCGGCCACCTCCAGTAGGGCTGCCACCAGCTTTTCACAACAGCCCTGCCAGCGAGATGCCATGGGGCCTCTGTTTACAGAGGAGAAAGCAGAGTCAGGTTAAGGAACCAGCCT